CTCCCCTTGAAAAAATATTGGCACGCTATAAGTTTGCGGCAGGTTGCTGATGTATGGCCACCAGAAGGAGTTGACCCTTGCTCTTTCTTGAAGAAGCTTCAAACCCAATTTCATTGCCCACAGTTCATCTGTCAAATGCTCCCACACGTCCAATTTACTCGTGTTCAAAAGTGTAAACAGCCAGATTTCAAATACATGGAGTTACAAACTCATGTTGTGCAAAGAAAACCTTATCCTACAGATATAAGGTTTCACATTATTGGAAGACTAAAAATAGCACCTTCCATCAAAGAGCACCAACAGAAATACATCACCATCAATTTGGCATATGATTTAACATGTTCCCTCGCAAAAACTGACAGCAGAAGATAAAAGACATGCATTCCACGAGTCATCACCCAGAAAATTGATATCAAATAGAAGATGCTGGTTAAGAAGTCCAGAGTTTCAGTTTTCGGAAGCCTCACAATTCTGAGCCTCTAAAATGTACATAACAATATCTCCTGTTTACTCAACATGAACTCTTAATCCGTGCATCAAGGAAGCAGCTTGTAGTAAAACCAAACCACGTTTTATATGGGAAAAACAACTTAAGCATATCAAAGCTATTATTGTACTGACAAACTTGAACTGAGCTTTCGATCCATTCAATGACTTCTAAGTTATCCTAGTTGAGGGTATATTGGCCGATGAAATACAACATTCACTACAATTACAGTACTAGCATTAATATAAATTTATTAGGACCGCGATGAAGCAAAATTGAGACGTCAAAGAGAAGCATTGCAGTAAAAATCCCCCGTCCACCAAATAAAACCCATTTGCAGTCTTCTAAAATCAAACAGAACGAGCAGCCAAAAAATGCACAGACACCCACGAATAGGGGAAAAAATACATACCAGGAACTTTTTGGGCCAGTTTAACCAAAACAGAATGAGCCTCATCAACTCCATCTTCATCTCCAAATTTCAAGGGTATGTTATCAGGAAGGGAAATAAGCTGAGACCCTTTTGGGATATCATGAGAGGCAATCAAACCAAGACCATTGGTTCCATCTTGGGATATTTTAATGGCCTGGTGAACGAACCCACCTTCGCGCCTCACCCATTTGATCAGGTCTGGTGGGTGTGGGACCAAACGCTCTTGATAGGATGAGGCTGTGGCCGTGGCAGCGCATGTGAGTGGGCGGCAAGTGGTTAGCGAGGCCATTACAAACTTTGAAACAGCCATGACCGGTATCCTCAACCTCAAGCTCTGCTACACTGAAGTGAAGCCACCCCCTGAGTAGAACTAGACAGCACAAGAAATTAACAAAAAAAAAAATCAGTAAATTTTATGATTTTAATAAATCTTGCTCTTTTTTGGGTCTTCACTATAGTTGGGCCACAAAGGTGAGGCCAAGAGCCCAACACATTAAGCTCCTCAAATTTGAGTCTGCCATCCATAGTGACCTTGAATCGGTTTAACTAGTCTAATCAATGGTTTAAGTGATTAATTTTGATTTAAACAATTTCTTACTCGATTGGAGTGGTCTAGAATCTTGATCATCCACTTTCCATCGGCAAAGAAAATTTGATCAAACCACTCGCATGTGTTGAGAAAGGTGAATGAATACAGTGCCAACGCATCGATTTCTAATTTATTACAATCATAGTTAAACTGTAGCCATTGTAACTTTTCTTACAAAAAAAAATATTATGGATTGTTAAAAAAAAAATTTACATGATTTTTTTTTATTTTTTTAAGTTTTATTTTTTAAATTATTTTTATTAATTTTAATTTTTAATATTGCATTAGTTAAAATTTTAATCATTTTATTATTAATTTTTTTATAAAGTTATTCCATTCACATCTAATTCATATTTTGTTATTAAATAAGATTATCTACACATTTAATAATATTTAGATGATATCTTTTTTATAATATTAATAAATATTAATTTTTTTAAATAATAATTATTGTTTTTTCAATTATCCTTGGCCTTTCATATATATAATTATATTATTAGATTAATCAAGTTTATTCAACTTATTTACATGAATGACCAGGTTTGTATTTTTATTATTAATTTAAAAACATTGTTATTATTTAGAAATTTTTATATATATATTTTTTAAAAAATTATGTTTTTTATATTAGTAAAAAACTAAAAATATGTTTTTTTTCTTTTAAAAGTATTCAAGTAAATTTACTGTAAAAAAAAAAGTAAAAAACTAAGCTATCCCTTGTCGGCTATATATCACACATGGACCCGTGAAAGATCATTCTACCCCAAGCTAGTTCATCCATTTTTATTTTTTTTATCAAGAGCAAATATGTAAAATCACTAGTATTTTTCACACCATTTAGTTTTTTTTTTTTTAAATATTCACAAATTCAATGTCCCGCAATAGACTATGAATCACGCCTGTGTTACAGTATTTTTCACACCATTTAGTTTTTTTAAAAAACAATATTCACAAATTCAATGTCCCGCAATAGAATTCCCAATTTATAATTCAAATAATTTATTACAATCATAGTTAAACCGTAACCATTGTAACTTTTTTTATAAAAAAATATTATGAATTGTTAAAAAAGATAATTTACATGATTTCTTTTTTATTTTTTTAGTATGTTTTTTTAAAATTATTTTTATTAATTTTATTTGTTAAAATTAAATTAATTAAAATTTTATTATTTTATAAAGTTATTCCATTCACATCTAATGCTTATTTTGTTATTAAATAAGTTTATTTAAACATTTAATAATATTTAGATGATTTTTTATAATATTAATAAATATTAATCTTTTTAAATAATAATTATTGTCTTTTCAATTATTCTTAGCTTTTTATATATATAATTATATTATTAAATTAATCGAGTTTATTCAACTTATTTGCATGAATGATCCGGGTTTATATTTTTATTATTAATTTATAAATATTGTTATTATTTAGAAATTTTTATTTATATATTTTTTAAAAAAATATATGTTTTTTATATTAGTAAAAAACTAAAAATATTTTTTTTCTTTTAAAAGTATTCAAGTAAATTTACTGTAAAAAAAAAGAAAAAAAGAAAAAAACTAAGCTATCCCTTGTCAGCTATACATCATACATGGACCCGTGAAAGATCATTCTACCCCAAGCTAGTTCATCCATTTTTATTTTTTTTATCAAGAGCAAATATGTAAAATCACTAGTATTTTTCACACCATTTAGTTTTTTTTTTTTTAAATATTCACAAATTCAATGTCCCGCAATAGAATTCCCAATTTATAATTCAAACACAATAAAAATAAAACAACGAGAACTTAAAAATAAAAATAACTTGCAGATTTTGTTTCGAGAAATAAACAGGATCCATAAATCACCACCAACAATGCCGACCACCATCACCGCCATATATTCTCTAACCCCTAGTTCCTCTTAGAGTATCCATGGAATCCCACCTAGCACCCATCATCATCATCACCTTAAACTCCTCGAAATCAATCATCCCATCACCATCTCTATCAACCCCGCTAATCATCTTCCTGCACTCGGCCATTGAACAAGGCTCCCCCAAACTGGCCATCACTTTATGCAATTCTTCAGCAGAGATCGACCCATTTCCATCAATATCATAAACAGAAAAGGCATCCTTCAGATTCTCCATTACCTCATCCGTATCCACCCCCTGTGTGTTTAGCGCTACAAATTCTTGCAAATCAATGAATCCATCACCATCGGCATCGAATTCTGTTATCATCCTTAGCAGCTCCTCTTCGCTTGCTTCATGACCCAATTTTTTCCAGAATGAATCCAGTTCAGCAGATGAGATCTTGCCGTCTCCATTGACGTCGAATTTCTTGAAAACTTGCTCAAGCTCTTCAACTTGGAGTCTTAGCCTCACAGAGGGTGATTTGGATCCGTTTATTGAAGTAGCCATCCCAGATGGCGAATCGATAGAAGAATCCGATTTCTTGGATTTGCGCATGAAAAGGCATTTAAACCCCATTCCTTCCCCATACAAAAAAAAATGAATGAAAGGGAGAGAATGGTGGTGTTATTTTTTAAAATAGAATGTTAAAATTAGTTGTAATTAGAAATTCAATTTAGTTTCGTGAAAAGCAAATTTGGAAGGTTTGCTAGGGAGGAAGGAGACAGTTTAGGCGCTTCATACCCATCATAAAAGTCCATCCCATCCTCTCTTAATGCTTGTAATCTCTTCGTAATTATTATTATTATTCATTTTCTACTCTTTTCTTAAAAAATCTCAAAGAGGATAGAATTTGCATGTTCTTATTATGAATCGCATTTAGTGCTGATACGTTACTTAGGATTTCTCTGTAACTCGTATATATATTTACCACAACAAGATCCTCCTTTTAGTACAAGTGAAAATATTCAAGAAACTAATCATAACAAGGCCTTGAAATGTCTGGGAATGTTGCTAGTTAAGTGTTTTTTAAAAAAAAATTGAATTTTTTGTTTAAATTTTTTTTTGTTTTGATGTGATAATTAAAAAAAAATTAAAAGTAAAAAATTATTCAGATGGACAACGAGGATGCATCTTCAGCATCTCCAGAGCCTTGTGTATTGGGTTCTATGGATGGCTTGTGCTTCAGACAGCCAGCAACTAGCAATCCCCCTGTGCAGATAAAAGTCAAGTCTACATGGATGGTTTGTTAAAGATAGAAGGAATTAAGAATTCAGTTTGTAGAAAATCATTTTAATAAATTATGATTTACATGCTTTTATTAATGACTTACATGGGAATGGAAACGGTATTAATTAGCTCTTCTGTAATGGAGCATTTAGAATTAATTTGCGCATGCATGAATGCATGGCGAGGCATTAAAAATTAGCCATCCTAAATGTTTCCTATATAAGGTTCAGGACTCTCTCTCTCTCTCTCACCATCACTTGCACAAGCCTCGTTTACTGCTCGTGAAATACACATATCCTTGATATTTCAGTGCCTAATAGTCAATTAATCAATAGATTCAATGTCGAGGATCAGGGAGAACAGGATGAGGAAGGAGTTGAGTGACATTGCAAGGGACACTTCATCTGAATATTTCAGTGCAGGTATTGCTACCGGAAACACGTACGATTGGGAGGCCACGGTTCATGGGCCACCGCTCACCCCATATGCTGGCGGTGTGTTTCGGTTGGGTGTCAGTTTTCCGCAAGAATATCCATTTAAGCCACCAAAGCTAACATTCTTAACCAAGATTTACCACCCAAACATCAACGACAAGGGTAGCATCTGTGTAGACATATTGAAAAACAACTGGAGTGCAGCCAACACAATGACTGCTGTCTTCAACAGCATATTGCTTCTAATGGCATCCCCGAACCCAGATGATCCTTTGGTGCCTGGTATTGGTAAGCAGTACATCAATGATAGACTCGAGTTCGAGCAGGTAGCTAGAATCTGGACTGTCAAATACGCAGCTTAAGGATCAGCGCCAAGAATTACAAGTTATTTTCAAGCACATCCTATTCGTATTAATATACTATATATACGAAAATAAGAATTTTAATTTAATTTATAATTATTTTGATTGTCTGGGCCAGCAGGATAAGTGATTCCGTAGGTGTCGTTTTTATTTTTATTATTCCTTCGAGCATTATGGTTTTTTTAATTTAGAATAAAAGGATTGTATTTATTTATGGTTAATGAAATAATTTAAAAAATACATGACCTAATGGAAAGAAGAAAAGAGTGGTTAAGGAATAAGGATAGTAAAACAAGCTGATCTTCCTAATAAAAATAAAATGTAAATATTTTATTTTGAGAAAGCAAGCAAGTTCCTCAGCCTAATGGCGGCCTTTTTTGTTCCGAGCTGAAAAATGCTCTAATGGCGGCCTTTTTTGGGCACGCTCCTCAATGTCACAAGAAATGGAGCGACCCACTTTCCTCTTCCTTCTCTTCATCCTAGAAAGTGTATTTACGCGCCGCTACTCTGCTTCTATCCTAGAAAGTGTGTTTTAACTTGTATGGTTAAGGTTAAAATTAAATATAATTTAATTATACATAAAATTTAACCATGAAAATTAATTTTTCTTGCTTTAGTGGTTTAGGACGCATGCAGTGACGCGATTCAGAAAATCAAGGAGCTGAAATCTATTAAATTCAAGCAGATGAAAAGGCTAGATTACAGAGATCTCGTCTTGTATGGCTCGATGCCACACCTGATACCTATTAAATAAATTCTTTGAAAGAAGTCAGCTCCGACTCAAGAGTTGTAAGCTCACGAGTCAGAGGAGAGGACCCAGTGAGTGTGTTTGGTAGTTGGTATTTTTTAAATAATATTTTAAACTGAAATATATATTAATGATTTTTTTAATTTTTTAAAAATTATTTTTAATATCAATATATCAAAACAATTTAAAATATACATATTATATTAAATTTTAATAAAAATAATTAATTTTTTTTTAAAATATAAGTTGAATCATATTTCCAAATAGGTCCATAGTAGCTAAAGCTGAGAGCCTATAAAACTTATACTCATGGTGTAGATCCATCCGATGCCATGACACTGCAGGAGTAACCTTACTGCATTCACAAGTGAAGGTTACAATAATTTTATTTGTTTTTATATTTTAAAAAATTTATTTTATATTTTAATATTATTTTAACATATTAATATAAAAATAATTTTTTAAAAAATAAAAAATATTATTTAATATATTTTTAAAATAAAAAATATTTTAAAAAACAATTATAACAACACTTTGAAATAGCCTCAATAATACCTAATTATAAACACTAAAATCAATAATTAAGCTCACGATGAATTATAACGAGGTGTAAATAAAGCTCAACAAGCTGGCAAAATACTAGAAATATAACATTAATATTTTTAATATTTGAGAATAATATAAATTATATTTTAAAATTTTATTTAATAATTAAGTTATTGAATTGATATAATTTTATTAATTCTATTTATTTAATAAAAAATAATATAAATACATTAAAGTTTCCAGCCTAAAAATTTTTATTTAAAAAAATATTAAAAAATAATATAAATTATTGAATTAAAATTTAATAATTTAAATTATTAAATTAAAATATTTTTTAACAGTTGTAAGAAAAAACAAGCAATGTGGTAATCGTCAGAGGCTGCGGGAAGTCTAATGGAGCGCTCAAGAAATGCCAGAGGGTGATGGGCCAGAGGGAGCTGCTTGAAACCTGACACCACCACATGCCTAGCGATGTAAATTCTGTTGGTAGATAAATGCAGACAGCAACAGCCAGCACGGGAAGGACAGTAACTAAGGAAAACACATGGTTAGAATCCTTGACTTGACTTGCCTGCGTCAGGACCCTCTCGCCTTCAGTTCTCCCTCGGCTTTGCCCTGTTCGTTACTCCAAATCATTAATTTTAATTAAGTGATAATTGCCATGTTGGCTCTATTATGATAATGACAATTATTTGAAATCTTATTTAACGAAGGGAATCCATGAGCTCCACCCATGCTTAAAAGGCGTAACCCCAGATTATTCTTAAGCATATTTTAACCCAAAATTAAGTCGAGTAAATTATTTTTAGTCCCTAACTCTTAAACATAATCATAGCTTAGTTCTACATATTTCAAAGCATATAACTTAGCTCCTTTGACTTATGATGGCTATTATTATATTATTACGAGCATTTGTTTTTCCTTTAAGTGCTTAAAAAGTGACGAGGTGCCTTTAGAATTAAGAAAAAAAGCGGCAAAATTTTTAATAAATCAACGATGAACATAAGTCAAGTGATTAATTTGTTCTTAAAAAATATAAATGACTAAATTAGTAAACTATCTAAAGTAACATGACTAGATAAAATTAAATAAAGTAGGAAATGTCCAATCCAATCATGACAATGAGTCCGGCGGCAATCACATAGAAGAAGTCCACCGTCCAAGGGCACGTTTGTCGCCGTGAAAAATAAAAACATTTTTTTAATATTGTTTTTAAAAAAATACTTTTAAAGGCAATATACAAACGTGAGCTCACCTGAGAAGAAGCAGAAGCAGAAGCAGAAGAAGAGAGACGTCAAAAGTATAGAAACTTTTGAGAAAGAGAAGCTTGACACTCGATGGTTCGTACCTGATTTTTCTCTGTTGAAGAAACGAGCTCGTATGTTATGCATACCAATTAAGCTAATGCTATTATTATTATGATGATGACGATGATGATGGAGCCATCAAAATCATCTCTACACTTCATAGCCTGCCAAAGATTCTTCACAGCCGTCCGATCAGGCGACCTTTACTCTTTGAAACAGATAGTGGGGGAGCAGCCATCTGATGTGTCTGATCTAATGTCTCTGCAGACTGATGCAGGAGAGACTGCTTTGTATATAGCTGCTGATAATAATTTGGAAGAGGTTTTTAGATATTTGGTAAAGCTTTGTGATTTAGAAACTGTGAAGATCAGGTCTAAGTGTGACCTGGATGCCTTCCATCTTGCTGCTAAGAAGGGTCACTTGGGTAGGTTTTCTGATATTCTTTTTTGCCCTTTTGGTCTACTTGTATGCTTAATTACTGTCTTCTTGTCTGTGGTATGTTCACAATTAGATTAATCGCTTCTAGACTTTGATTTGTAAAGTTATCGCCTTTTTGTTTAAATGGCTTCTTTTCTCAATTGAATTGACTCCGATGTCCACTGTATATGTGTGATTGGAGGTCTATGGCTGCGATTTCAAACAGCACAGTGTTTATTTTTTTAAATGCATGGTAATAGTGTTATTCTATGTAATGGGAGGTCTTGGTTATGGTTCGTTTCCTTGATTGGGCACATGTAAGGGAGAATGGCTTTCCATAATATAAGTCATTTGCTGGATAAAAGTGGTCAGTCCAAGCAGCAATTCTACTATATTTTTCTTTGAAAGTTATATAGATCACTGCTGATTGAAATTGGCTAGAGTCGAATAGAACGTTAGCTTTGCATAATCATAGAGGCGTAGGAGATTGTGTTCATGAAGATTGAGCTTCATTTACATAAGGTAGCCATATTTAATATGTCCGTTCAGGATTGAGCCTCACCGCCAGCATTTTGTTAACTAGTTAGTTGGTGGCAGGTCGTTTAACTCTTTATGGTATATTGGTTTTAGGCATCGTGAAGGACCTTTTGGTCACGTGGCCTGAACTTTGCAAGGTATGTGACTCCTCCAATACTAGCCCCCTCTATTCAGCCGCTGTTAAAGATCACCTGGACGTGGTGAATGCCATTCTGGATGTTGATGTCAGCTCAATGAGGATAGTGCGTAAAAATGAGAAAACTGCTTTGCACACAGCTGCCAGGTATGGCCTTCTTGATATGGTAAAAGTGCTTATACATCGTGATCCTGGTATTGTCTGCATCAAAGATAAGAAAGGCCAGACTGCACTCCATATGGCTGTAAAAGGTCAGAGCACTTCTGTTGTAGAGGAGATATTACTTGCTGATCACTCAATACTAAATGAGCGTGACAAGAAAGGTAACACGGCAGTGCATGTAGCGACAAGGAAATTGCGCCCCCAGGTACTTTAACTATCGATTGCTAATTAAATATGAGAACATGTCGTTGTCTGTCTTTTATCTAATTGTCATCTCAAATGTATTATAAGATGACCAAATCTGTGTCTGTCTTTTATCTAATTGTCACCTCAAATGTATTATAAGATGACCAAATCTGATGTGTTGATTCATGGAGTGATTATGAGCTTACTAGCTTCTCCCAGGATCTTTTTCTGTAGCAGTGGCACTGCTGTTCAAGAAGGTTTTTCCCTATCATTTCTCTTCCCAGTCGCATCATACTTATACTTGTTCTCTGTTTCTCAGATAATAAGCTTTTTGCTGAGCTATATATCTATTGATGTTAACATCATCAATAATCAGCATGAAACTGCGATGGATTTGGCTGATAAACTCCCATATGGAGAATCTGCCTTGGAAATCAAGGAAGCTCTCACAGAGGCTGGTGCCAAGCATGCTCGGCATGTTGGTCAAATGGATGAAGCAATGGAACTTAAGAGGACAGTTAGTGATATCAAGCATGAGGTGCATTCACAACTTATACAAAATGAAAAAACCAACCGAAGAGTTTCTGGCATTGCGAAGGAACTAAGGAAACTCCATAGAGAAGCTGTCCAGAATACAACCAACTCTGTCACTGTTGTTGCTGTTCTTTTTGTCTCGATTGCTTTTTTGGCTATCTTCAACTTACCTGGGCAATATATACAGGATGGAGCTGAAACAGGGAAAGCTAATATAGCTGACTATGTTGGTTTTCAAGTTTTCTGCCTCTTAAATGTAACATCTCTCTTTATATCGTTAGCGGTTGTTGTGGTTCAGATCACTTTGGTGGCCTGGGACACTCAGGCTCAGAAACAGTTAGTCTCCATAGTTAACAAGCTGATGTGGGCTGCCTGTGCTTGCACTTGTGGAGCATTTCTGTCAATAGCATTTGTGGTTGTAGGAAAG